ATAATGGTGCATAGTGAACATGCAAGTATAAGTGGGGTAGTAAAAGAAAATAGAGAGAGAAAGTGATAAGGGTGGTCCTGAGAAAGTATAGGCTACACTTTCTCACTGAAGTCACTAGAATGCACCTAATAATGGAGTAAATCAACAATAAATATATCAATACAATAATCTGATATCCAAAATACCATGCATAAAATAAAAGAAAATAAAAACAGTATATGGTACATCGCAGTAGTTGAGCCAACAAATTGGCCGCAAAAATATAATAAAAGTATCACAGTATCAAAGTATCAGTCAAAGATCATAGATATCTATGAATGATAATAAAGAGAGAGAGAGAGGGAGGTCAGGCAAATGAAGTCAGTTTGGCAGGGCGTGAACCGCGGGTATCTCTGGAAATGCCTTGCAGCACAGTCAGTATATAAGTGTAGAAGGTAGTGACATCGGTGCTAAGAGAAGCTACATCTGCTTAGGGAGATGACCACATCCTCCAATGTCTGGATATGCTCCCCTAGGCTGGGTGTCTGAGCTAGAGTGTCAAGAATGGTGGGATCAGGAAACTGATGCTCACCCTGACTCTGCTCCTATGAATGAAGTGGTAACCCCGCCGGAGACTGATGTGGTGACCCCTCTAGAGGCACCTACTCCAGGTCAATGTCCATAAATGCATCCTCAGCCGCCGGTGCTGCTGCTCCCTCTGCCTCTACCTCGTCCTCCTCTACTACCTCTGCCTCTAAAACCGCCTCCTCCTCTAGTCTCTTAATAAGAGCATTGTAGCTCTTATTCCAGTCTTTTTATCATAGTGGCAAGCCCCTATCTCAGGCTACTCCTTTAGGTGAAAAGGGTAATGCTGGTCTTGGAGATCTGAGTGATCAAATGCATAAAGGGAATAAACTTAGCCCGTTTGGGCTTTTTCTTGCTGATGAAGGAGTTATATAACTTCATCATGATGGTCCAATAGAGAGTAGGGACTGAGAACCAGTGGCCGGTGTAGAAAGCATACAGGGTTGCCAGAAAATTGGCCCGCCACTATATCTTGTGCCCCACCATAAAATCATTTTGGTACAAGACCGAATCAAAGAACCATAGGCTGTCAGGCAGGTAGGTCCTGGTGGAAAATGTGTCTCCTGCATTAGCAGGGCCATTAAGTGTTGTGGCTATGGTTGCATAAGGTGGCTGCCGGAGAACTGGATAGTCAACGCCAAGAGGGAAGATATGTAGGCACTGCGATGCTGTCCCTAATGTCTCCACTGTGATGCGAATGGGATGGCCATTAATGGTAGTCTGCAGCTCTGTTTGGTTACTCGAGGTCGACCGGAGGTTTTAGTAGAACAATTGGACGAGCCTCGGGTAAACCGGATTGGCTATCGGGGCCAGAATGGGAGAGATGTTGCACCAGATGATCTCGTCGTAGGCCTACTTGGTCATGGCTGACTGAGCAAAGAAAGTCTTATCAAACACTGATTCGTGTACTACTGAATGGCATAAGTATCTAGGCTAAACCTGGTCATGAACTATGCCAGGCTTACCATTGGTGGTGCTGGAATAGGAGTAAGAGGTGGCGTGTGCTCGGCCTCCTAAGCTAATGAAGATAAAGAGGCAGATGCTGAAGAGGAGGAACGCTCGGCCTCTTGAACAAGAGTTGGCTCCTCAGGCCCTTCTACCCGTTGCCTAACTCGTCGGTCATATATCTGGTTCGTCGTGGTCTTGTACCGAGTTATAGTCTGCAAAAAGAAAGAAACACTTACCAATGCAGTCAGTAACATGAAATAATATTTAAAATACAGAATTGAAAGCACAATAGACAGAAACATGCTTGTCAGATAAAGATAGACAACTCAGAAGGTATGCATATGAACCTATCTATGCAAGTGATAATGCAGCCAAGCATAAACATTAAGCATTCAAACATGTGAAACATGCTAAATATGATAAGTATGGAATGCAACCAATGTGGAAAACACAGGCATTGGGCACAAATATAATAGCATGAACACAAATGAGGGTGTATGGGCATCAATATGCAAAAACAGTGAAGTTCGATCGATCATGAAAAAGAAGAGATCGATCTAAGTTGGATCGATCATGAGATGAGTTGGATCGATCGAACTCTGATCGATCAGAGCTTGGGTTCGATCGATCGAACCTATGGAAAAATATGAACAGTTGTCGCGCTCGAGTTTTTTCCCCACCTTTATATAAGGGTTATACTAAACACTTATGGGTCAAAAAAAAAAGATTTAATGCGACGGAGTGACTATGGTCAAATTATTATTTATTTTGGAGTCGCCACCTAACATAGGATTTCGGTGTGTTAGGTCACCGTATAATGTCTAAGGACTAAAAATGATATTTAAGTATTATTTATTTGACATCCATTTTAGTCTACGAAAACCAGAGTAGAGGGTCCGGGGGTTTGGTTGTGCATGGGGATAGGCACCCCATGACACCCGTGGAACACGGTTACTTTATTTTTATATTGCATTCCTGAGAAAAAAATATATGTGTAGTTTTTTTAAAAAATATTTTATTTAATAATGCTTTAAAGGCTCTAATCTTATCTATAGGAAAATAAGATATTTTCATAGTTTGAGATATATATATTTAAACATACGAGTTTTATAAGAGAATATATATTTTAGATGTTGATGTGACCGAACCTAGGAGTGACCTAGGTTGCCGACATACCTCATTTCATAAAAGATGAGGATCAGGTCAAATGTAGTTCAACTAGCCTTTAATATTTATTTTAGGAGAAATGTTTCTAAGAAAAAATATATATATATTTTTTTATAAAGTGAAAATTGTTACTATGGAGACATATATATTCCAAGGAGATTTGAATTTGAAAGATGTTTCTAAGAAACTGGTAATTTAGGAAAGTATTTATATTTATCTTTTAATAAATTATATTTCTAAGGAATCTTATCTTTTAATAGATGATATTTAGAAATTGGTAATTTAAAGTGTTTTAATAAAATATTATAATTTAAGAAAGTGTATAAATATATTTTAAGAGAATTTGAAATTTGAAATTTGAAATTTGAAATTGTTTTTAGGAAAACTTATAATTTAAGAAGGTGTATATTTATTTCTAACAAAATATTTTTCTTTCAGAAAGTATGAGTATATTTTTCTGGCATTTGTATTTTTTTTTTAAAATGTTTCTAAAGATTTTATTTAAAAATCTTTCTAAGGAAACTTATAATTTAGGAAAGCAATATATGTTACTAAGGAAATTAGTATTTTAAAATTGTTTATAAGAAAACTTGCAATTTAAGGAGATATATATATTTGTTACTAAGGAAACTCTTGTAAGATTTAATTTTTTTAAAAAAAGGGGTTTCTAAGGAAACTTGTAATTGAGGAAAGTGTATATATTTATAAGGAAGTTTATATGCTTTAGGAAATTAATATTTAAAGAAAGTATATGATTTATTAAAAAAAAATGATTTCTATAAACAGAAAATATTTTAAAAAGATATGATTGTTACACAAAAATTTGACCTCATAGAAGATATGATTTCTACAACAAAATGATACCATTTAAGAAAATTTGAAGTTTTCGAAAATATGATATTTAGAAAATATTATTTCTAATTCCAAATATTTTTTTTCTCTAGAAAATACTATTTCTAAAGAAAAATAAGATATTAAAAATTAAAGATCTTAGGAAGAATGATTTTAAGACAACCTAAGGGTTGAGTGAAAGTCTACCTTAATTCTTGAGAAGTGTACATAGTTTATATGGAATTAGGATCAACTAAAATGACTTAACATGTAAGGAAAAAAAAAAAAAGATTGCTAATTCATATGATTAAGCTAATATGAAAATTTGACTAATTTGGACTTCCTATTATGGAATTTCTTAGGAGAAGGAACTTGAAAGTCCTTAAAAAAAAGATATTTAATTGTAATAAAAAAGTGTGATAAGAAAAATTAATTCGGCAAAAGAAAGAACTTATGAGTTCTGAAGTTCGTTAATTTAAAATATAAGGTTCTATAAAAGCATGCTTGAACTGATTTTTGCATGGTATAATTTTCAACAAAGTGTAACCTTGACCATAAGAGTTAATGAGAATATAATTTGAAAAAGTACTTAAGAGCTCTAATAAAAAGTTTGACTTGAAAGATGGCAGTTTAAACCTAATATATATTTTTAAGAAGCTTGGCCTTTATATTAAAAGGTTTACGGGAATCCAAGTTGATGGAAGCAACTCAAATATTGAGATATTCAAGTAAAACAAAAGTAGTTGAAAATACTTTTACGAAAGAACTAGTTATCAAGTGCTTATGAGACCTTAAGGGTTGAACCTTGATTTTGTGAATTAAAACCAATTCTGTATAGTTTATAAAAAAAATTAAAATACTATAAAATCAATCTTAGAAGATATGTATTTTATTATTTAGAAAAATTATTGTTCATGGGTAATGCGATTTTAGAAAATATAATATCTGAAGATGCGACCTTTTTATTATAGAAACTTTTAGAAAATATGGTTCTAATACGATTTTAGAAAATCAGTTTTTTATTTAAAAATAGGATTCATTGTAACTTTTTAGAAAATATGGTTTTAGGGAAAACTTTAAAGGTATGCTAGACAATCTTTAAAATGGAATGTCCAACAATCTTTTTATTTTATTGTTATTATATTTTCACTTGATCGATTATTATTAGCTCTAAAAGCATGCATCATACAGTCCATGAGTAATAATTGCAGTTGTTGATTTGATTATATATATACACACACACACACACACATAGGAATATAGATAGATACATGATATATATATATATCTATATGTGTGTGTGTGTGTGTGTGTGTGTGTGTGTGTGTTACGCAAGGCATTGATCAAGATGAAGATCACAATTCATCCACATGACGAGCTGATTGCAAAACAATCTTTCTAAAGCAGAGTTGAAAAATTGAAAGCAAATGACCAGTATACGATTCATATGAGCATTTAATTTTCAAAGCCATCCGAAGCACAACCAAACATATATAC